GGTCTGGAGCGGGACCAGGCACAGCTGGCCCTGGACTGGCAGCGCCGGTGCGACAGCATCGAGAGGGACCATGTCCATAAGGCAGAGGCTTTGATCCGGGGTCTCACCACAGCCAGAGACCAGGTGTGCGGGCACTGCACGGTGGCGGGGCCTCCGGGGCCCCAGGCAGCTTCAGCTCTCCGACTGTCCTCTCTGCACAGCTCGGGCACAGCACAGAAGTCCCACCGTGACGCGTGTCCCTGACTGTCAGCAGCCTTTCTGGGACTTCCTGCACGGTGTCCTCGGGGGCCCAGTGTGTCCTCAGCACTGCTGGGCTCCCCCCGTGGCGCCAGCCAGGGCAGGATGGGAGGAAGGCAGCCAGCTCCCAGTGCTGTGCACCTGGCTCTCAGCATGCTCACTGCGGTGGGGCCACCCCCAAGGGGCCTGCAGTCTCTGCACCCGTGGACCACGTCTTGTTTCCCAGGCGGCTGCCAGGCTCCAGGAGGCCGAGCGGACGCTGCAGGAACAGGAGGCGCTGCTGCAGGCCATGGCTCAGGAGCGGGACGAGGCTGTGCGGGCACTGAGGGTGCACGGGCCCGCTGGACGAGAGGCTCAGGTGAGCTCGCCGCCCTCCACACCTTTCCCTGGCCCCCTCCCAGCCAGCTCTCGGAACTCACTGCAGTGGGGGAAAACCACACCAGATCCTCCCAGGACGGGGGGCCAGGGCTCCTCAGTCGTGTCCCTTTACCGCCCAGCATCCACTCGGGTAAGCCTGAAGCTCTAGAGTGAACTCAGGGCCGCCCCGTGGAGGCTGGACCCCACATAGTCCCAGAGGTTGAATCCCAAGTCCAGAGCCTCAGAGTATACTGGGTGTGTGTGTGTGTGTGTATGTATGTGTGCGCACGCATGTGCACATGCCCCGAAACTCCCGCAGGGTGGAAAAGTGAGGAAGAGAGTGCAGAGTGGCCACGCCCACTGGGGTGCTCTCTATGCACCTCTGGGAATTTTTTGAAGAGTTAAAATGGAGCCGGTGGCGTGGAGGTTAAAGAGCTGGACTCCCACATGGGTGACCACGGTTTGACTCCTAGACCTGGCAGCTTGAAACTCGCAGTGGCTGCATGTGCGTGCCCAAAATCCCAAGAGGAGAGCCGGCAAGGGATTGTGGCATGGCCACAGCCCCGGGGCTGATTTCTTACTTTCCCTTTTTCTGTTTTTCTCCAGCGAGCACAGGAGCCCTATGTCCAAAAAACCTTAAAGAAAAAAGAGTTAAAATGAATACGTATTCAGAGCCCCTTTGTGTCTTTAGTACTCCAAACCGCGAAGACCCCCAGTCCAGATGTCACGTGGCACGCGATGCTGGCGTCAGCCCATGGGGTGGCCCGTGGCTGTCTGTCCCTGAGGAGCAGGGTCAGTCCAGATGTCACGTGGCACGCGATGCTGGCGTCAGCCCATGGGGTGGCCCGTGGTTGTCTGTCCCTGAGGAGCAGGGTCGGTACTGACCACGTGCTTGGCCCGTGTTGGGCCTGCCCCACACCTCGTGCCCGCCTGTCCGCAGCTCGCTCGGAGGTGGGGCAGTCCTGAGATGAGTGCCAGGAGCCGCCGGCTGTCCTGGCGTGTCACAGCAGAGCGGCCACGGGTGGGCCGGTGGGGGTCAGAGGGTAGCAGCTGCGGAGGAGGGGCCCACCAGTGACTTTTCTTCACTACTGGTTTTTCGTGGGTTATTTGCACACAAGGGATGCCCAGATCTTGCTGTGCAGGGCAGGGACTGAGGCAGACAGACGAGTCTACGGCCCAGGCCTCTGACAAGGTGTAGCGCGTGTCCCCGGGAGAGCGTCTCGGCCGCGCACTTCCCACCCAGTGCCCTGCAGCGCGAGCCGGGACACCGTAGTGTCCTCGCTCGTCCCATGCAGCACTGCGTGCCCAGCACAAGCGCTGGTCTTCTGCTTCTCTCGGCATGCCGCGTTCTCAGCAAATGGACCTGGGGTCGATGGGGCAGGGTTGCTCCTCGGGGAGAGGCTGGGCGGGGGGGCACCCATTAAATGCGAGCTTCCAGCTCTCGCCCCGGCCCGGCCGCCCCCGTCCTGCCTCTCGCCTCGCCTCTACGAGTTTGACTCCACTAGGGACCTAGAAAGGCTGAAGCGGGACCAGCGGGTGGCATAGAGGTTATGTTGCCAGACTCCCACGGAGTCGACCGCGATTCAAACCCCGGACCTGGCAGCTTAAAACTCACGCCGATGAGTATATGTGTGTGCCCAGAATCCCGGGAGGAGAATGGAAGAGAAGGGGCTGTGCCGTGGCCATGCCCACAGGGATGTGAGTTCTCGCTTTCCCTCTCTGGTGAGCACACGCACCCTACAGCAAAATTCTTCCTAAAAAAATAAAATTCTGAAGGTTTCCAGCCTTCTCCTGTCAAATTAGAAGGATGGTCATTGCCCCTGGAGAACAGAGGGCAGGACAGGTGGGGCGTCTGGGAGGACCATGGTAAGGTGGTCCAGGCGAGCTGGGAGCCATCAGCCTCTGGTGCAGCCACAGCCCTGCCCTTCACGCCTGCACTTGTGCTTGGCAGGGCCCCGAGAGGCAGCACGAGGAAGCCCGTGAGGCTCTGCCGTCCACTGAGGTCCAGCAGCTGCGGGAGCAGAATGCGGGCCTGCGTCGCGCCATCGCCCACATGCGAAGACAGATGGAGGCGCTCAGCGACCAGCCTCCTGCCCCTGTCCAGATGGAGGCGCTCAGCGACCAGCCTCCTGACCCTGTCCATCTGGGCGTGGAGGCCCCGGACACAGGCCAGCCCGGCACAGAGATGGGAGACACGGCTGCTCCAGGTGAGCGTGCGGCCAGGCGGGTCCTGCAGGTGCTGGGAGGGCTGGGCCCTGCGGCTCTGAGTGAACGGCCCAGCTGCTCCTCCGAGACCAGGGGGCTCCCACTGGCCATCAGAGACCTGCGTTGGTGACATGGGAGGAGCCGGGGTGGGCGCACAGCAGTGAAGCACGGTCTAGCCAGGCTGAGCCAGCAGAAGGGTCCCAGGATGTGGCCGACTGTGGCCGGGGCCATGGCACTGGGACCTGTCGGAGCCCTGTGCTTGTCCACCTGCTTCTCCTCTCTCATAGGAGGAATAAATACACTTAAAAAGTGATAATGAAGCCTCAGCCACGGGCCAGGACAGATCTGGCCTGGTGCTGGCCCAGGCTGCTGGGTAGCAGGGGCTGGGACACTGGGCCTCCCTAAGGGGAGTGTCCTGGCCTGGGCTGAAGTGGGCAACCCCTGCCCTGCCGAGTGGTCAGTGCCTCAGGGCCTCTGCGGACAAGGGGAGGGCTGGGACGGGCTTTGCTCTGGCGCCTGGAGCACAGACTCAGCCCGAGGGGCCGGCAGGAGGCGGTACCCCAGCAGCCTAAGGGCTGTGCCTGGGGGCGGCAGGCATGGGTATGCGGAGGGTGCTCGCCCAGAGGTCCCGTTTGCTGTGGTTTCTGGCAGATTGTGTCCTGTCCCTCGAAGCAGAAATACGGAACCTGAAGCATCAATGTGAAGTCCTGGAGGATCAGCTGGAGGGGGTGTGGACCCCCTGGGAGCTGGCCTCACTTGGGAGCACGGTGCGGCTCGGCGCGCTCACCTCTGAGACCACCGGTGGGCCTCGCCCTGTTGCGCTCGGGCCTGTCCTAATGCTCTTGGTTCTCCAGGGAGTCGCAGTTGGAGTGACCATGCCACAACCTCTGCGTGTCCGGCCTCCCGTCCAGGTCACACGCCCCGTGTGATTTCAGGCCACACGGTCAGCCGTGTGGGGCCCGGCCCGGCACCTCGCCCACCGCGCCCTTGCTGGCCCCGCCAGTGCTCTGTGTGAAAGCAGAGACGGAACCCTCCACGCTCAGTCCCTGCCCACAGCTGTGGCGGAGGACCGGCACCAGCCGCCCGCAGGCCCCGAGCCCCCGCGCTCCAGCCCGGCAGCTGCGTCCTGGTAGTTTTCTGTTTCCATAGAGACGGGTGTCTCTATGTCTCTCTCTCTGTCTGGCGAGTGCACGCGCCCTATAGCAAAAAAA